CATTTTTTAAAAAATAGCTAAAATTCTTCTAACCCGGAAATAAAAACATGTAGGCACCTGAGACTTAACCATAAATATTGCTATATTCATACATTCCCTACATTGTTTATGAAGCATTCCTTTTAAACAACGACAAAACATATGCAAATAATGATTTCCTGTTTCTATCATCTCTTTGGCAATGAAATAGAAATCTACCTTTTCTTCTTCTGAGCTCTGGAGAACAGAAGCAGCCAACCATACCATCCTTTCTAGCTTATCCTCAGGCATCCAAATTCAGAGAAACTAAGCTACTCAATGCAACATATTTTTCCTCTTCTTCCATTTCCCTCCTTTTCTTTTTTGATGAATATGTTTGATAGCTTAGCATAGTTGTGTTATAGTTTTATAATTTTAATTTAATGGTTTTAATCTATTGCCATTGATTTGGTATGTGTTATTTTACCCCCTGGTGGCGCAGCGGGTTAAACCACTGAACTGCTGAACTTGCTGACCAAAAGGTTGGCAGTTCTAATCTGGGGAGCGGGGTGAGCTCCCACTGTTAGCCCCACTTCTGCCAACATAGCAGTTCGAAAACATGCAAATGTGAGTGCATCAATAGGTACCGCTTGTGCGAGAAGGTAACAGTACTCCATTCAGTCATGCTGGCCACATGACCTTGGAGGTATCTACAGACAACTCTGGATTTTTGGCTAAGAAATGGAGATGAGCACCACCCCCCATAGTCGGACACGACTACACTTAATGTCAGGGGAAAACTTTACTTTTACCTTATACATGTAAGGTATTGAATTTTGCCATTGATTATGTTGGGAATTGCTAGGGGTGAGAAAAGTGGTATATAAGTGCAATAAATAAATAAATGCAATAAAGAAATAGTTGTTTCAGATGTCATTAAATCCCAATATTGGTTCATTCCTCACCAAGAAAACAAAGGGCCAAAGGACATAACCCAGTGGTTCTCAACCTGTGGGTCCCCAGATGTTTTGGCCTTCAACTCCCAGAAATCCTAACAGCTGGTAAACTGACTGGGATTTCTGGGAGTTGTAGGCCAAAACATCTGGGAACCCACAGGTGAGAACCACTGACATAAGCGGAGAGATGGCACCTCACATAGGGCACTTTAAGTTACAGGGAGACTTAGGAGTGATCTGAAAGAGCTGTTTAACAGTGGAACCCACTGCTTGTGGTAGAGACTGGATGGCCATCATTTGGGGGTGCTTTGATTGTACTTTTCCTGCATGGCAGGGGATTGGACTAGATGGCCAATGCAGTTTCCACTTCTATGACTCTATGAAGAATCCTAGTTTTAGGAAAGTGCCAGTGCTATTCGATGCAGTATCCAGTCATCTGATTTGCAGGAGGGTTTTAAAGGCAGGAAAGGGCAAAGATTAATCAGAACAGGCTACGTTTTTTGCTTTAGGGACTCCAGAAGGGCTCCTTCTCTGAAGGCATGTGCTATTTTGCTGCTTGTTCTGTGCATGTGTGTGTGTGTGTGTGTGTGTGTTTGGGCTATGAGGCCCCTAAGATCAAATTCTTGGCGGTGAGGCCGGAGCCGGGCAGCGTCACTCCATTCCTGTGGAGGCTCCAGCCAGCCTCCCTCCCTCTCCCTGCCCCCGGGTTGCATTTCTAGAGTGTGCAAAATAATGTCATGGCTGATGGGAGAGACGCTGCCTCAAACTGACATTGTTTGAAGCCACTCTGCGTGCTCCTTGCAAGTTTGGCTAATTGACAGCTCACTAAACCCACAACCTGGGGGGATTTTTTCAAAGGCAATCAATAGGAAATGCAGGAGCAGCGGAGGGAAGAAGAGAGGGAGGCGCCCAGATTTAAAGCCCCCCTCCTGGCCTTCCCCTCACCCCCTTCCTCCCCACACTTTCCCTGCGGCCTGCGAGATAGAGACCCCCGGACAGTGGCAAAGAAAAGGGAACAGCCCCTGCCACGCCAAATCAAAATTCCTCAAGAGACGGCTGCTCCTCTCGCCCCGGGGGGCCACCAAAGACACAGCACACAAACAAAGGCCCCTGGTTTCTGGTCGCTCCCAAATATCACACGCCAAGCCTTGTTCTCCAACTGCTGGGCAAGGGGAGGCAAAGGCACACACGCACACATACATGTGGGTTAATACACACATGTATACAGGCAGTCCTCGAGCTGCAAACAGCCGACTTACAAATGACTCATAGTTAAGAACAGGGGTGAAACAACAAGGATATGAGAGAAATATACCATTTAAAAGGGAAATTTACTCCTGGAAGAGGTATTATCATGGGGAAAATGTGTCTCCGCCAAAGCTGTATCACCAATTCTTGTTTCCACAACAAGCCACATTTCTCAAAATCTAAATATCACAGGGATAATTAGTGAGGTGAAATCACAGACAGCAAAACAAAGCTCACAGAGGAGTTACACTGAAGTAATGAAGCTGTTCTGACTTACATACAAATTCAACTTAAGAACAAACCTACAGATGGGTTGTTGTAGGTTTTTTGGCAGGCAAAACGTCAGGAGAGAATGCTTCTAGAACATAACCATACAGCCTGAAAAAACTACAACAACCCTGTGATTCCGGCCATTAAAGCCTTCGACAATACATTAAACCTACAGAAGCTGTCTTATTCATCACTTGGGGATTACCTATACAGGAGACTCTCCATTAATCAGAACTCAAGCAACGAACGAAAACAAAATAATCAATGAGCTAATACTTCAAGCAAAAAAAATGTTCTTTGAATATAGTAAACCCCTAAATACAGTAAACCCCAGTGGCACAATTTGATTCCGAGGAGAGCAAGTTGAGCTCCCTCTGTCAGCTCCATGCAGGGACATGAGAGAAGCCTCCCACAAGGATGGTAAAAACATCAAAACATCTGGGCGTCCTCTAGACAACATTCTTGCAGACGGCCAATTCTCTCACATTAGAAGCGACATGCCGCTTCTCAAATCACTCCTCACATGAAAAAATACAGTAACAATAACACTGAGGATGTCTCACAACCTCTGAGGATGCCTGCGATAGATGCAGGTGAAACATCAGGAGATAATGCTTCTAGAAAATGGCCATACAGCCCAAAAAACCTACAACAACCCAATAACACTATGTTACAGTAAGTTTGCCTTTATTTGTTTTAACAGACTTTTCATGACTATATTTCAATATTAGTATCAAGTCAATACAGGGTTTGTGGTATGGTATAGTATGGGGTATAGTATTCGTTGGGCCTATTTTTCATAGCAACACTCAAACAACCAGAAACAATATTCACCCAGCATCTACCATTTCCCATGGGTACCCATTACACAAAACCAAGGCATGTCTTCTTCTAGCTCTCCTCTGGGACTCACAAGGGAAAGCGTGTAGGTTCACTCTGCCGGGGTCCAGGCCCTACCTACCTATCTTCCATCCTCTGCTCAAAAACTAAAGCCACCCCAAATTGTTCCCGGTTGCTACTCTAAGTCCCTACACTGGGAGAAAAATGAGTAAAAAATAAAATAGCTAAATAAATAAATAAACACATTTCCCACTTGGGCAAAAACCAGTCTGCAAAAACCAGTCTGCAAAAGCATCAAGCAGCATCTCCCTGGAAGGCTTCCCAATGCTCTCTGGCCATAGCCTCTTGCCTCCCTTTCCCACCCCTGTGCAATTGGGGACCGGATTTCTGCAAGTCTGGATGCTGCCCCCACTTTTCCTTCATGAACAGACCCCCCAAAAGAGAGGAAATTATGTAGAAACAGAGAAAGGAAACACTACAAAGTCCAAGGGCACTTAGAGTGCTGAGGATGGGTCCTCCTTCTTCCCACCAAATACAGGGTGCACTTGTAATGAATGGGAAGGGGGAGAGAGAGCGAGAGAGACCAACCTCCTCCTCCTGGCACCCCATCCACCCCAACCACTTCCAAACCCTAAGGAAGCAGACCCTCAACACCTCTCCCCAAAAGCACCCATAAGCCAGTGACTTGGGTCTGTGCGTGGCTGTGCAGCCCTTGTAGACTCCCATTGCATTGGGGGAGGCAACATGGAGAGGTTCAGCACTTGTGTGGGGAGGGGATTGGGAGGTCCAGGGTGAGTCTTGGGGGTCAGGCCTTGGGGAAGGTTCACGTTGGGTCTTTTGGGAGTGAGTCAACAGGGGTATTTGGGAAGTGTTTACTACCGATCTTTCAGGGGAAGGATCCAGCATGGATTTTTTGGCTCTCATGAGTATTTGGAGGGGATTCAACATGGGTCTGGGGAAGGAGGGAGGGAAGGTTAACATTGCTCTTTGGGAAGTTAGGGTGCCTTCAACATGGGTCTGGGGAGGGAGGGGAGGATAATATGGCTCTTTGGAAAGTTAACATAGATCTTTGGAGGGGATTCAACATGGGTCTGGGGAGGAAGAGGAGGTTAACATGACTCTTTGGGAAGTTAGCATGGGTCTTTGGTACGATTCAACACAGGTCTGGGGAAGGGAAGGCTTAACGTGGATCTTTGGGAAGTTTGCATGGGTATTTGGTAGGTATTAACATGGGTCTTTTGGAAGGGTTTACTACAGATCTTTGGCGGAAGAATCCAGCACTGATCTTTTAAGGGGTTCTCATGGATCTTTGGAGGGGAATCAACATGAGTCTGAGGAAAGGAAGGTTTAACATGGGTCTTTGGAGGGGATTCAACATGGATCTGGGGGAGGGGAGGTTAACATGGTTCTTTGGGAAGTTAGTAATGGGTCTTTGATAGGGTTTAGCACGGATCTGGAGGATGGAGGGGTTACCATGGATCTTTGGGAAGTTAGCATGAGTCTTTGGTAAGATTCAACATGGGTCTTGGGGGGAGATTCGATGTAGATTGGGGAGAGGGGTTCAAGATGGGTCTTGGGTGAGATAGGAGGATTTGGGAGGGGGGTCTTGGAGTCCACTTGGGTCTTTTGGGTGGTGCCAGCCCCTCTCCGCCCCCTCCCCTCTTCTCTTCGGCGCACCCCAAGCCCCCCGCCCCTTCCTTGCCTGCCTTTGGCCCCTGACAGGCTCACCTTCGTGCTTCCCATGCCGCGGTTAGCGGGACCCGTCGGCGCAGCCGCATGGCCCGCGTGGGCCCGGGGCGCCGTGGGGGCAGCAGCGGAGAGGGAGGCGGCAGGAGCAGCAGCCGGGGCGCCTCGGCATCTTCCTCGCCTGGCCTCGGAGCCCGGCCCAAGCGGCTGCCGTCCCTTCCTTCCTTCCTTCCTTCCCTCCTTCCTTCCTCTCTCCCTCCTTCTCTCTCTCCCTCCTTCTCTGCGTGCCGCCCCTCGCTCGCCCAGGCAGGCTCGGTTGGCCTCCGAGAGGGAAGCAGCCCCGCCCCCCTCCCCGCCCCTTCCCCGCCCCTTCCCCTCCTCCTCCTCCTCCTCCTCCTCCGGCTATTCTGGACCCTCTTCCAGCCAATCTGGAAGGGGGACAATCTGCCTTACAGAGTTAACCCACTTTGGTCCCGCTTTGCCTGTCCTGGCTCAATGCCATGACATCCCAGGAGCCGTGGCTTTGGAAGGTCTTCAGCCATTACATTGCACTCAGCCATGGCCCTTGGTGGGATCAAACTGTGTTAATTCTACAGTGCAGACCAGTGGTTCTCAACCTGTGGGTCCCCGGGTGTTTTGGCCTACAACTCCCAGAAATCCCAGCCACTTTGCCAGCTTTTAGGATTTCAGGAGTTAAATAATAGTAGTAATAATAATAATAACTTTATTTTATACCCCACCTCCATCTCCTCTGCTGCTATGCATGCCGAGTGTGGAACACATCTCACCACGCTAAAACAGTGGACGTGGCTCTTAATGAGATATGCCGCATTATTACAGGGTGTCTGCGCCCTACACCACTGGAGAAATTACACTGTGCAGCGGGTATTGCACCACTTCACATCCGCCAGGGAAGTAGCAACCAATAGTGAAAGGACCAAGGCAGTGACATCTCTGGCCTACCCCTTGTTTGGGTATCAGCCAGCACGCCAATGACTTAAATCAAGAAATAGTTTTCTACAGGGCCGTAGCCAGAAAAAAATTTCGGGGAGGGTTGAAATTTTGGGGGGGGGGGGGAAGAGTTTTGAAAATTTGGGGGGGGGGTCGAAAATTTGGGGGGGGGGGGTTGAAACCTGTATCTCATGCTGAGGAGCCCCCAGTGGCGCAGTGGGTTAAACCTCTGTGCCGGCAGGACTGAAGACCGACAGGTCACAGGTTCGAATCCGGGGAGAGGCGGATGAGCTCCCTCTATCAGCTCCAGCTCCATCACATCATCCGGGTGTCCCCTGGGCAACGTCCTTGCAGACAGCCAATTCTCTCACACCAGAAGCGACTTGCAGTTTCTCAAATTGCTCCTGACATGACAAAAAAGCTCACGCTGATGCAAAGAGCACAGCCTTCACTAGCCTGCAGCTCCGCCCCTGTCAACCATCTCCACCAAGTCTGGCCTCCTTAATGAGAGCATTCAACACCCCCCCCCCCAACTTGGTTGCTTCGCTACATCGGCTATTGCTGCAAGTAATTACAGTGTGAATAAATTGTCAATATTTGCTTGAGATAGTGCTTGCAGTTCCGGAGGGACTCTTAAATTTTTGTGTCTCATATACTTAGCATGGGGATTTGGTTAACCAGTTAAAATTCATGAGTAAACCAGGTTTATTTTTTTTAACCTGAAAAATTGGGGGGGGTTGAACCCCTAACCCCCTCCCCCCTCGCTACAGGCCTGGTTTTCTAAGATCTACAGAGACACTCGCTGGAACACCTCAGCAAGCGGGAGTCCAAAAGTGGCAGGCTCAAACCCAGAACCTCAACCAATGGCTGATATCAAATGAGAGACTCCCTTCTGGGCACACAGAAAACTGGGCAACTTGGAAGGCACTGAACAGACTGCGCTCTGGCACCACGAGATGGGGCTACGAAGTGGAATCCATGACATGCGAGTGTGGAGAAGAGCCAACCATGGAACACCTACTGCAATGCAACCTGAGCCCTGCCACATGCACAATGGAGGACCTCCTTATAGCAACACCGGAGGCCAGCTACTGGTCAAAGGATATTTAATAGAATACCAAGTTTGCAAACTTTGTGTTGTTTTTTTAAAAAAATACAATACAACTGTTTGGTTCACTCCTGACACAATAAATAAATAAATCTCCCCAAAGGGACTCGGGGCAGCTTACAAAGGGACAAAGTTAAAACATTAAAATAAAAACCAAACCAAATAGAAACATATTGCAATAAAACATAACATCATGAAAACAGTATCATGGGGGCAATAAAAGTGCTGAGTTTAGACTGCTTTGAGTTTGTGCACAATTCCTAGATAGAGCTAAGAGAAAGGGCAAGATTCAGTGGCAGGGATGGGAGAGGAATGTCCTTGGGTTTTATAATGTCAGGATTGTAGGCTAAAACATCTGGGGACCAACAAGTTAAACACTACTGGTGCACCCTGGGCAAGTTTGTTTAGTTGGTTGAATGCTGCAAGTTGCTTCTGGTGCGAGAAAATCAGCCATCTACGAAGACTTTGCCCAGGGGACACTTGAATGTGTGACAATCCTGTAGGGAGGCTTATCTCATGTCCCCCTGGCACCACAAGATGCAGAGCTAAGCTTAAGGAATGGGGCCACAAAGTGGCGTCCACGGCATGTTAGTGCGGAGAAGAGCAAAGTACAGACCACTTACTACAATGCAGCCTGAGCCCTGCCACATGCTCAATGGAGGACCTTCTTCAGAGAGCACTGTAGACTCAAACAATGAGGGATCTGGACCAAACTTGGAATTAATCCTCAATATGCTGAAATGTGAACAATGGTGGAGTTTGGGGAAAATAGACCTTGACATTTGGGAGTTGTAGTTGCTGGGATTTATAGTTCACCTTCAACCAAAGAGCATTCTGAACCCCACCAATGATAGAAATGGGCCAAACCTCCCACATACTTTCTCATAGGACCTTCTCACAGCGACACCAGAGGCCAAGTGGCCAGCTTCTGGTTAAAGGATATTTAGCATAATGCCAAGTTCTGAAAAAAAAAACATTGTTTGTGTTTTTAAATGCATTTCAACTGTACCCTCAACTTGTTTCTGACATGATAGATAAATAAATATCCTGGGCAAGAACCCAAGGGGCCCTCCCTTTGGCCCTCTCTCCCCAAGGAGAGAAACTCATGCTGGAAGAAACATATTTTTTCCAATATTTTAACTGTTTTTAATGTATTTTTGGAAGAGGCTGAATTCCACAACCACAATCCAAAGAGCATCTCATCCACCACAGTCGTTTCACAAGTTTTATTACTACAGGCAGTCCCCAAGTTATGAAAAAGATAGGTTTTGCAGGTTTGTTCTTAAGTTGAATTTGTTTGTAAGCCGGAACTTCAGCCAAAAATATATAAATCAGGCTTAGCCTCAGAGGAGAGCAAAGGCCAACCTCCTCTCAAAAACTATTGCCAGGATAGGGTCTCCTTAAAGGTAAAGGTAAACATTTCCCCTGACATGAAGTCTAGTCATGTCCGACTCTGGGGGTTGGTGCTCATCTCCATTTCTAAGTCGAAGAGCCGGCGTTGTCCATAGACACCTCCAAGTTCATGTGGCCAGCATGGAGCGCCGTTACCTTCCTGCCAGAGCACTACCTATTAACAAGCCTTTGGAAATGCAACGTAATAGATGAATATGGAACCCAGGAAAGAATGAACATGAAATGGATTAGCCAATGTTTTTGGGAAATGAGCTAATAGGAAGTCACTGGTGATTATATGATTTTTACATGGTTTTTATAATGTGCTCTAAATATTTTTAATTCTGTTTTATGACCATTGCGGCATTGAATTGTGCCAGTTGTAAGCTGCCTTGAGTCGCCTCCGGGCTGAGAAAGGCAGCATAGAAATGCAGTAAATAAATAAAATAAATAATAATATGTTGGCAGAAGCTGGGGCTAACAGCGGGAGCTCCCCCTGCTCCCCCGATTCAACCCGCAGACCTTTCAGTCAGCAATTATTAGGATGAAAGAGATTGTCCCGTCCTAAACTGAATCCTATATAGAGGCACCCTTAATGGGATAAGGACTCCAATCCAATCTGTTTTATGCAATGAAGGATTAGCATTATACTAGGGAGAATAATTGTCTCTTAAACATATACATCTGGGTTGGGTGTTATACATAATTTTCCTTTTTTTTTTTCATATAGAAAGAGCAATGTGCCCAATACCGTAGCTTCAATATCAACTAGGTAATTTCCTTTCAGATGTTATGCTTCCTGCCTTGGGCTGTAAGTGTTGGTTGCTCTGTATAGATTGTAACCATCTTTTGAATGTGTAGGGTTTTGCTGTGGGTTGGTGAATGAGCCCTGTGTATCCTATGGAAACCCAATTGTTAGAGCAACTCGAAGATCCCAATAGGGATGGGCAAGCCCCACTGCTATCAAAATTAGAGGCAGCTTTGCCTCTGGCCGCAGCCTACAAAGGATCTGGCTCTGGGTTTATGGGTTGTCTCCATAGAAACAGGAGTGGATCCCCGAAGGAGGGGGGCCAAGGAGAAAGGAAGGAATGAGCCAGCGGCAGAAAAAAAAAATCAGAATAACTGTACAGCGACCACTTTGAGGCTCTCTAAAATGCTGCAAGGCCACGAGATGGAAGAATGCAGCACTTTGCCCACAAAAGCCAGTTTTTAAAAACCAAAGATTTGAAGCACAACTTGATTTTATGATAGCATTATCCCCGTTTATAGCCCTGGCAGGGGGCCTTCATGGGTGACTTGCAAAATAAAATCCCACGTATGGAAGGGACAGATGAAAATATACCAACTGGAAGCAATTTGCAAACCATCGTAATTAAAAGCTTGGAGTCGAAGCGAGGGCTTCCGAAACCAGAGCACAAGGATATGAGGCCAAATGATCACTGGCTTTTTGGGATGACATTAGCTTGGGGGGATTGACGCCATATGATGGAAGTTGTAGTTTACCCTGCATCAAGTCAGAGCACTGTGACCCCCACTAACAATGGACCTGGACCATATTTGGCACACAGAACCACTATGACCAACAAAAAAATACAAGAGGGCTTTGGGGAAAATTCACCTTTAATTATAGGAATTATAGTTTACTTAYATTCAGGGAGCACTGTGAATGCAAACAACGATGGATCTCCATCAAATTCAGCACACATACCTGATATGCCAACATGAGTTGGGGGGGGGGGGGGATTGGCCATGACATTTGTTAGTTGTAGGTACTGGGATTTATAGTTCACCCACAATCAAAGAACACTCTGCACCTCACCGATGATGGACCTGG